GGGAGCGTTTGGGGAACATCTGTAACGGTCCCCGTTACAATTAATACTAGTTAAATTTGTTACTTCTTTAGGTCAGAGTCTTGCAAAAATAGAAGTTATAATATTAGGTACGATTATTTTTCTTTGTTAAAAATATATGTAGACAATGTCAAATCAGTATGTAAGGGTGGATACATGAATGATTTGTGAATAAAAAATGTGGAATTCCTCCCATTTCTTGGTCTTTTGGTTTAAATTTATGGTCATATTTCATCTTCATTTGATATGTCTCAGATGAGCATCATGGTCCATAGGCCTATTGTGCAGATATTAAGCTACTAGATTTGAGTAATACAAGAACAGACTGATGTGATAAATGTATAGTCTTTGAATTGTTAAAGATTTTGTTTGTTTGTTTGGTTTTTTTTTAATCTAGATCATGCATTTATGAAAGAAGAGAGCATCAGCACTGCCTTAAGATTCCAGTTGAGACCTTTATTTTTGTACAGTCAGAAAAAAGGACAATAGCAGAATGAAACACATGCTAGCAGACACTGATCTAATTGAATCCAGAATATGGTGATCAATTTTGAATGATTTTATCCTCTGGTTGAAATGATATTGATCAATTTTAAAAGTGGTTGACAATGAATTCTAAATACATGTATTTTGTTTACATGGCTTATTAACTCTGTAAAGTTTGCAATGTTTTGGGGTTTTTTGCCCTCTCCTTGAATGTACATGTATTGTAATAGCTGTTACCTAGTACATGGTTTTTAGTACCCTGCTAGCATATGAGGATAGTGAAGGGGGTTACTTGATTAATCTCAGGAAGTTTATTTATTGTTCCTGTTATCTATTTTTTCATATCATTACTATTTCTTCATTTGCTTCTTGTTAATAGAAAACATCATGTGATATTTTTATTTTTCATTAATGCACCTCAATTAACTACTGTGACAGTCAAAAAAATCAAAAACTTTCATAAGAAGGCACATTTTAATTCCGGATTTTAAATCTATTTGCCTGTTTTAGTACTGTATGTCTTTATCATCAGCAAACATAATTAAAATAATTTTACAAGTGCATAAGCAATATGAGGTATTTTTAAAGAATTTTAGTACGATTTCTAAATATGGAATTATCATTAATTTGCATGTAGCTTAAACTTTTATGATCAGTAAGATTAAAAATAATGGTAATATAAAAGTATTACAAATTTTATTCAAAGAAAATTTATTTTTATTCATCAAAAGTATAGATGTTATATAGGAATCAATTTTTTTTTTCAACCAGACCAGAACTTCCAAAAAGTCCTTTCAATGTAAATATATATAATAGAAGTTTATAGTCATTTCTTTTTTCTGTACTGTAGTAATCAACTATAATCTTACAACAAAAAAGAAATTTTTAACATGAAGATTGCAGCCCATATTGCTTTTTATTGAATTATCTCCCTTAATCATTGATCGATTTGTAGTGCATTTTCTGTAAACATTATTTCAGAAAGTGGGAAAGGTTTAAAATTTGTTTTAAACTCTGTTGATTTTAATTCAAGCATAGTATATGTCCTAAATACATGTTTATATCTCAAATGAAATTGCTACATGTACTATCAAGGCATCAAGACATATATGTATTCTACACAAATTATTGATCTTCCCAGAGTTATTTCCCTTGTTCACAGTGGAAAATTTTTAAATATCTTTTAGTGTAAATGACATGTGTGACTGTTATGCTAGAAGCTTAAAAACTTAAATTTATTTATATTTACTGTCCTTGTTGTGTAAAGCATCTATATTACTTTCAAGTATTAAGTTATGTTGAAATAAACTGTGCCATTATTAAAAAGTAATCATTTTTATATCATCATATACATGTATATTGAACCCTGTTCATTGGAGCTGTGGTCAGTGTTTGGCACTGGGTTCAGAATATTTCACAGAGTGGGAAAATGGGTAGAAAAATTGTATATGCATGGTAATATTTAGAAAACATCTTCTTGGATCTTTTCCCAAGTATGACCTCATTTTAATGGTTGTAGAATGAACCCTACATGCATATATTCTAGATTTTTAACTTTAAACAGCCCTTAGTTCTATGGTAAAAGCACAATAAGATTCTTTTAAATAGAAATGTGAAGAATTTTGCTCACCTTTCCCCTTCTCGATCTCTCTAAAAAAAACCATAAAGTTTGCCAATTAAAAAAAAGATATTTTTTGGCATTTTCATACTTCACTTTTTTTTACTCCCTATTTTTACGGCTTTATAATTCTTCCTAAGAAGTGTGGGTATGTACCTTGAACCCCCCTATTCCTGGATCCATCCATGCCTTCTCATGAATAAGATGCTTAATTTCCTCCATGTTTATGACTTTTCTAACCAACTTGCCATGGAGGATCCAAGTCATTTAAGTTATACATATACTTTATAGTTCATTAAATTTCAGATACAGCTCTGAATATCCCAGGGAGCTCCAAGCCCCCCCCCCCCCCCCGTGTGAACTACCTCCATGTTAATGACTTTTCTAACCAACTTGCCATGTGTATGGGGACCATGGTTTCAAGGAGGATCCTAGTCATTTAAGTTACATGTACTTATATAATTCATTAAATTTTAAATAGCTCTGAAAATTCCAGGGATCTCCAAGCGCCCCCTCCCCCCCCCCCCCCGTGCCTGGAAGGGGATATTGGAACCGTTTTATTAGATGAGAAAAATCTTGTTTAAATTCGTAACATGTATATTAAGTTTGATGTATATTTCTCAAGGAATTAAATAATATTCATTACGGTAGAAAATGCAAATGAATAGAATGCTGAAAGTCAGATGAAGTATATATACATGTGGTATATTGTTAATGCTGACAATGACTTTTGCGTGGATCTGTTTCGGAAACTGGATGAAATTGTTTATATAGTTATATATATATATGTAAAGGTCTGCCGTATTACTCGAAACTGGTATGTCATGAGTTTTATACAGAAAACAGACTATAGGTGTGAAGGTTTTCTTTCACTGCGAACCTAATGACCTTTGACTAGTTCAAGAAAAACCACGTGATGTAAATTTAAATAACAATAACATTGGTAGGGGTGAAAGTGTGCAAGACGAACGATCAATTTTGAGGATAGTACAACGCGTCGTGTTGAACCTCTGAAATAAATTGATGCTTGTTTTGACCAGTTTCTAAGAAATACTATTTCAGAAGTAACTGTAGAAGATGCTCGTTTCGAAATTAATACCATAAACGGGTTGTTATTAAAAACATACAAATCCGAGATGTGAACGAGTATAATGTTCCAGAGGAAGAAGATTGTGGAAAGATTATGCTGACTGGAATCGTGTTTTTTTGTTTGTTTTTTTTAATTGAATGTAACTTCAGTGACTATTTGAGAAAATAATACGTACGCGTATATGTGTGGCGGAGGCCTCGAGAAAAGAAAATGGATGCAGCAATGCATTAGCCCTGGTCGTGGCGCAAGGGTTAGTCTAATGATTTGAGGGTGTATCTATTGGAATGCCCCAGGTACTTTGACACTTAACAATGGTAATAGCAATGCTGAAAAGTACAGAGAATTCATTAAATCATTGATAATGAACTGTGTCCAGTTGTTGCTAAGCATTTCCTACAGAATGATTTTATTAAAAGACGACTATGCGTCAGTGTATTGTGCAAGGATTGTGCTAAATTACAAAACTGAAAATAATATTCGAGGAATGCTGTGGCCTGCAAAATTACTGAATGCTATTATTATTGTTTGTTATTGTTGAAAAATCAGCTGAGAAAATGCGCGAGCATAATTAACAACGCAGCCGACTTCAAACTAGAAATTCGGAGAATATGCATTCATTATATATGGAACCATTACATATCACTCATCACAAGGAATGGCCAAAATAACCCAAACCAATAAAACGAACCAATAGAGTCACCCGTGTGGCGCAGTGGTAGAGCGTCTGCTCTGGAGTAAGGAGTTAATCCTTACGTCGCGGGTAGAATCGCACTGTGGGACGTGGAGACCGGTCCTTTGGATGAGACCGTATAAACCGAGGTTCCCTGTCGCAGTAGATGCTGCCACAAAAAAGATCGCTCACTGCTCAATGGCCCTGTGTGCCGAGTATAGGTCAAAATATGCAGCTGTCCACCGGCACTTGGAGTCTCCATATGAAAATGAGCCAATGCTCACTAATAATACCCCCGCTCTGATGTGAATACACAAGTTCAGTTATGGACAGACACAGTGATAATCAGGAAATTGACATCAGATTTGTTAAAAAAATGAATCCCCACAAATAGAATTCCTAAAAGAAAGAGTGTGTTAAATTTCAAGCATCTGCGATGAGTAGTTGCTGAGAAAACTACCATCAAAATTTGTTATTATGGTACTGACAGACACACGGATAAACAGGAAGTTGACATCGGATTCATACAAAAATGATTCCAACCATAAGGCATGCCTGAACAAAGGTTGTGCTAAAATTTCAAGCATCTGCAATGAGTACTTGCTGAGAAAACTGCGACCAAAATTTGTTATTATGGTACGGACAGACACACGGATAAACAGGAAGTTGACATCCTGATTCGTACAAAAATTAATCCCACCATATAGCATGCCTAAACATAGGGTGTGTTAAATTTCAAGAATCTGCGGTGAGTAGTTGCTGAGAAAACTGCGACCAAAATTTATGCATGCTAAGGATAGATGCACGGATCAACAGGGAGTTGACATCGGATTCGCACAAAAATGCATCCCACCATATGACATGCCTAAACAAAGAGTGTGCTAAAATTTCAAGCATCTGCAATGAGTAGTTGCTGAGAAAACTGTGATTAAATTTGTTACGGACAGGCAGACAGACAGACAGACACACAAGGATAAAACAGTATACCCCCCTCTTCTTCGGAGCGGGGGTATAAAATTCTTCAGAGGGTCGTAAAAACAAAACAAATAGAGCTAAAGTCTTATCAGGAACCTATGGTGATAATATTATGTTCCGCCACTGTACATTTTCCAACTTACGGTCCATCCTCCAGCATTGGTCTCCATATCACAGAAGACATTCACAGAACGAAATGCAGGGTTGGATCTCTCCCATGGATATATAGTGTACGCACCAGACTTTCTATATCCTTGGTTGTAAAGGGTTTTACAGTCACCAGGCGGATCTGTTGCAATATATAGTATATACTGAAATACATCAATCATGTTTCAAAATACTCTTCTAACACTGACCGTCTCATCTTCTGTAACGCATATAAGCGTTTTTATAATTTACGAAGAAGTCAAAATCTAGTACTCTAGCTCCTCTAAAAAATATGAATGTCATCAGAAGTTGCACGATAACAGCATCAACAATTTTTGCCTGTTTTTATAATCGCAATTTTGTTCTTAATTTAAACACTTGTATAGAGATTTTAAAAATTGACAAAATGTCACATTTAGTGCACTTTTTTAAAGACATTTTGTGCCAACAAAATATTTCCACAATACATACTTGTTAACAAGTTGGTCAGCAATTCTCTATCCTGCTGTAGCTTATTAACTTCACTTTGAAGCTTTCTCTGCTCAGCCAGAATTGTTTGAAATTGCTTCTTCATCTCTTCACCACTGATGCAGTCATTTTTGTCATTCAAATAAATGTCCTGAGGACTAGCACATAACAAGCTGGACATGAGAAAAACTGTCCACACAAACATCATGATTTATCTTTCTCGTCTCCAATAAAGCGCCTACTTTAATTTTATAACCACAAGTTAAAATAGTCGCTGTAAAGGAAGTGTTTATTTTGTCCTTATGTAACTATTCAATAGAGTTATTGTTGTACCGCGGTCCTTAAGTGTTCAGCATTGATTTTGTAATTCGTGTATTTCTAAACATAATCTGTATTATACTTAATGTGCATCTGATGTGTTTTGATTCCTCTTGTTTCCAAGGTCTTCCGATTGCGCTAAGTGTGAGGCCTTATTATTGCGCTAAGTGTGTGTTGTATGTCGTTTTACGCCCAATTTTTCACTCATATAGAGTCACTATTAAATGGTGTAGGGCTTCAAATTCAATCTTATACTCGATACTCTGGACATTGGAGCAGTGAGGGTTCTTCAGCCAAGCCTACTGTCACACAGCGAGAGTGTAAGATGGGCTGTTTGGGTTCAATATATTCACATATGGGGGCATTTTCTACGTTCAATTTATTTATACTTTTATTTTGATACAGTTAACACTTGTAACGACCACAGTGAACTGTGATCTTTTTGTTCTGCCGCCTACCTCTTACTCAATTTTCAAAAGTTGACATATTTAAATGATTTTTCATATCTGTGATATTTTTCTGAGAAATCACTAATTTAAGAAAACAAAGAGAGATAAATATAAATTTGGCAAAACCTGTGTTTTCACTTAGAAATTAACGGAAAATATTTTCATCCCCCTTGAAACAAAATAACTTTTCACAGGTATTATTAATTGCTATTTCACAATTCATATATATCGGGGTTTCTTTTTTTTGGGGGGGGGGGGGGAGGGAGGGGGATAAGAACCAAAAAACAGGAAAATGGCCATTTTAATTTCAAATGACATTAAGAATTAAAAATATTATACCCAAGTGTTTGATTTTTCTCAATAGAATTTATTATCTTTAACAATGAGTCTGTTTTTCGCAAACTAAAAAATATAACTAATTGTCATAAATGGGCATTTTTTTAAAATATCTAACAAATTAACCAAATACGTACACAAGTTACACATTCTCGTATTTTAATGTATCCCTTATACGGATATTAATATACATAATTAAAAAATACAGATAAAAAAAATTGGCAATAAAGATAACCCTTCAAAAACTCGCCAACCTTTAAAGCATGTGAAATGCAACATGACAATTATTTATCAGTCTTGCATGTTGAATTTTACATAAATTAACTTTCGGAAAGATTTAAGGGTCATTCATCCAGTTCCATGATTATTTGAAAATTTGATTTAAAGGTCATATGAAACAATGTCCTAAGCATTTTGGGCTGTATACGGAAATGAGTTCATCTGAGTAACTTTAAAAAGCCTGCAATTACATTTTGGATTTTTTATGCAAGTTAGCGGCAGCAGAGTCGATCAAAATTACTTGACTGCGAAAATGAACTTCAACTAGCGCGGCTTATCTCCCTTTGCTTATGACGTCAGTAAGACCCAGTCGCTACATTCAGTACTAACATTCACACAACCGATCATGTCTTTTGCAGCGTAATTTTTAAGAAATATCATCATCTTGGCTAAAACCGCGCATAAATATACGATGTTCAAACAAGATAGTATTTGTCTTTTAACATCCTATTGCATATTTGCAAGATTTTAGCATGTTTTATCTGTGTAATTTATTGTCGTCCTTCGACACTTCACTCGACACACACACACATACGTGTACAACCGCAATTCTCACTACACGAGGTTTTACACCTGAAAGTCACTACACTATGTTCTAGCAATGCTAACAAGATAAACAGACCATAACTGTGATTCTATGGGTCTTTGTATATGCAAATGAGGTTCAGAAAGATGAAAATTCAAATAATGAAAAAATGATTTTTCACCTAAAAGTCACTACATTTGATCACGTGATTTTGCTCAATCACACACCGGAAGTTGACAAGTCACTACATGGCTTTACCAGGACACACACAGGAAACTCAGTACATAAACACTCTTGTAAGATATTATACAAGAAAATCACTACATTCAGTAAATTTTGAATGTGTTTTCCGTAAAAACACCAATTTTTCCAAAAAATTGTCGAAAATACATGACAATGTCTGCATGAAATCTGTATGCTATAGAAAAAAAAATTGTCAAAGGATATCCGACAAAGTTAAAAGATAAAAAATTGGCTTTCAGCATCTGTATATAGATTAATATAAAGCAAATGAAATGAGAAGAATAAATTAACAGTCATGACAAAGATTTAAAAGTATTAACGGCCAGGCACGTAACATCGTTTTTGAAAGTCGGGGGGGGGGGGGCGGAAAATACAACTTAATACCCGAAAATCTTTGGCAAGCAAGGAAAATAGGTTAACTTCAAAAAGTCGAAAATCCTATTGGTGGGTTGAACTTTTGTGAACCCTCCAAAAAATTTCTTTACAATAAAATGACCGCATTTAAATACATAACAAAAGTGTGTGTAGGGGGGGGGGGGGCTTTTAATGAACACTTTCACAGTAAATTAAAAATAAAACTTTTAAGTTTGAAAAAAGGAGGGGCCAAGCTACCCCTCCCCTCTGCTTTTACATCGCTGACGGCAATGAATTGCCGAGTGTGCGTTGATTCAAGACTTGTTTCGTCAAGAATATTCGTTTTGGGTTTTTTTTTCTGTTGCATTGAGTAAGACAAGTAGAAATTGAAAATCGTTCCCCAATTTTAAATGCAATCATTATGTTTTTTATGATCTTAAAGAGTTTATTTTTTTCTTAACAAGAATTTTATAGGATTACAAATTACTTAACTACTGTTCATGTAATAACATCTCGTTCTTTTTTATGTGGATGACACCACAACCAGCATTCAAAGAAAAATTTACAATAGTAATATAGTATATTCAGAAAAAGGGGGGGGGGTGGCCTCCGCGTTCTACGGACCTGAAATAAGGGGAAAAATAATGATCCCTCTTATTTATTCTTGCAATTTAATGACTTCAAAAAACTGAAATTACTTTGGTGGGGAAAGTCCACTTCATTGTTTTTCTTATGCATAACATTCTATCATTTCATATTCATCATTTCATTTTCCAATTCAGCATTTAAAAATCCCATTGCTCAAATACGTTGGTCTCTAAAACCATGATTTTTTACGAAATGCAGTTCATACAGCACCCTTTAGTTCTCTTATCCCTTTGCTCAAATGTTTTACAACATTTTGAAAGATCAAACAAAAAAGACGGTTTGTTTGCATGAAACAATTTAATTGCATCAACTATACAAAAAAATACATGAAAAGAATGCTGACATGAAATAAGATACACATGTATAAGCCAAGTGTTAATAGATAATTCTTGCTGTTAATTTTTAAGGTATCCAAAATAAGCTTATTTTCACAGAAGAACAATCAAGGACAATAGGTCAGTATTTGTGCAAAATATAGTGGCATTTTCTTAGTGCATTAAACAACACACAAGTTTCGAAATAAAAAAAAAAATCTCTAAGCTTAAAGCTGACAACCAAGCAAGAAATATAAATATCATGCAGTTAATAACTTCCTGTGTTTAAAATGCAACAAAAGGCCCTAGGCTTTGACTATTACCTGAGTATTATGAATTTCTCAGGCTGTGGTCATTTCAAAACCGCCTGGATCTAGAAATCTAGACCCATGTAACAAAAATCGTAAATTTTCACAAGAATTCTATATTTATTATCATATTGATGCAGCTGAACTCCTAGAAGTTCAAAAGTAAAGAGGATAAGGTATACTGGCTAATACTGTATAAAACATTCTAATTTATGACTAACTCTGCCTTTTCATGGGCCTGAAACATGAAGAAGCCCTCAATTAGAGGGCTAAGCATTAATTAAGATTAATTTTAGAGGTCCATGTTTGCTCTGCTACGAATATGGATTATTCTAATGGACTTTTGAGTTTAATTACTATTCATAATCTTCATATTTAATTTTATGCCTGCTAGTTTGCCTGCTAGATGTTCACCAGTGAAGGATTTTTTAAAACTTCAATTTACAGCCCATAGCAAGGGTTTCAAAAGTAGGGGGGACTTCAAAAAATATCTGACAAGCAAAAAAACAAACATTATTTACTGAACCGACCTTATTGCAACAAAAGGGGGGGGGGGGTAGGGGGGGGCAACGGCAACCAGGATATAAAGGATACTTTACTACAGCAAAATTCTATACTCAGAAAAAGTGGGGGGGGGGGGGCGTTCTATGGGTCTGTTGCAGTGTCAATATAAATAGGTAAACCTTGCATGAACAATGGGTCATGAGCGATAAATTTCACAAATTTTGGTTAAAAAATAATTACTTGCTTAAATTATGCAAACAGCTGTCTGCTACATGTCCACGAAAAAAAATTATAGGATATATTTTTTCAATATTCAGCTCCATCCTGAACCTATATGCAAAAATGAATCTCACAATTTTTTGTACTTAAAGAGCTATGGGCTTATATGATATGCATACCATCAATTGGCCTGCTGGCAAAACTTCTCACAAAAGAGACATGAATGTTTTTTATTATCATAGTTCCCAGATGATGTTTTTGGCCTCTAAAAAACTGGTCTTTCGCTTCTCTGACTGTGGTAAAACTTTGCTGACATCATCATGATCATCTTCACATTCACTGTCCTTTTCGCTGTCACTTGCAAGTGCAGCTTGTTTCTGCTGCATTTCAGATTTGAGAGGCTTACTGGGCATATCTGAAATTATTATATATGTACATGTATTGACAAAAGGGATTCATCTTTATTTTTATAGAGGAGGCCAATGGGCCACATGGCTCACCCATGTCACAATGGCCCTGCACATTTCCCCCCTATATATTCCTATGTAAAGCTTTGATTGCCTATTATGGCCTCATCTTACCCATTCAAACCTAATGAAGAGGTATGAAAGTTGTTTTTCCATACTTCAATCTGTTAGGCATGATTGAAACACTCTATTTAAGCTCCTTATGGAGATATTTATAATTTATAATGCTGGCTAATGAACATCATGTTAATGTGAATCAAAGGAAAGTAATTTATTTAAAATGAATTTTGTCAATTTATCAGACTGTGATCATGTCTGGAGAAAAAACAACTTATGGAATTAATCCTTAACTGTAATAAAGAAACAGTCATACTTAAAATTCAAGACAGAAATTCTGCCAGAATTTTAATTCACTTTAAACAATCTACATATTGTACAATGTAATACATAACACTTTATACAAGAGGCCCATGGTCCATGACACCTGAGCCCTTTTGCAAGAGAAAAGCAGAAATCAGTTCAGTATTGAAAAGTTTGAGTAATTATACTTATACAATTGGTGCCACCCTATGCCCTGTGGGTGATGATTTGAACAAACCTGAAACTACTTCTCCCATCCTACCCCTTGATGTTATGATTTGAATAAATTTGAATGTACACTACCTGAAAAATACTCCTGTATTAATATAACAAATCATGGCTTTGTTGTTCTTGAGAAGGCCTTTAAAGACATTTTCTATATAATTCCATGTAAAAGTCTTATGCCCCATTGTGTCCCCACCCTTCTGCCAGGGGACATTACTTGATAAAACTTCAAGCTACATTACCTGAGTATGCTTCTGTATTAATATGACTTGTCATGGCTTTGCTGCTCTGGAGAATAATTTTTCTGGCCCACTCAGACCTGTTTAACTTTTCTAACTGATGTCAGTATTCTAGAAGTTGTCAGTATTTTGAGCAGTTTGTCAGTAAAAATGCAACTCAGCTTATTAGACATTTTTATATGAAGAACCCCTTGTTATACAAATACTAAGCACTAACTACGCATGTCACCGTATGCTGTCTACTGTTGCTTACATATTTTACATTTGCCTTAATTATATTGTTTTTAGATCATTTTTGATAAGACCACTTCAATCAACAAGCTCCTTTATCAAACTGATTGGCAAATTTCGGGAACGACTCTGATTTTTTTCCGTCTTTAGGGAAAATCTGTATATTTTCAACGTGAATCTGTAGAGCACATTTTTACTTGAAGATTCATGGGAAATACTAAAAATCTGTACAAAGTAAACAATTCTGCCCATTGTTTCTGGAGAAGATTTTTTTAAAGATGCCATCAAATTTACACTTATTTTTGATTATATCCCCTTAAAATAGGGTGATGCCTTTCATGTGAACAAACTTGAATCCCCCACCCAAGAATACTTTGTGGCAAGTTTGGTTGAAATTGACGCAGTGGTTCTTGAGAAGGAGCTGAAAATTTGAAACAACAAAGACGCTGGAGATGGACAATGGACAAACTTTGATCAGAAAAGCTTACTTGAGCTTAAGAAAGTTCTGTTTTCAGCTTTATTACCAAGATCATTAATGGTATCTTCATCACAGCTTTTTTCATTGCTTGAAGGATGGTATGATTCATCATCATTACCATCATCATACTCGTCTGCTTCATCACTTAAAAGTGGCCCTGTATCATATCCTATTTAAAACTCTAAAAAAGAAATTATCATTTTAAGACTGTTCATTTTTATGGGGTTAACTTTTAATTTGTAACATCCAAACAACATCATAAATATAGATTACCATTCTCATTGACAACATCATGACTGCTGCTTTCATTTACAATGATTGGTGTGATTCCTCATCCTGCTCAATTGCAAAAGACTCTGTCAAAACATTCAAATTAGATGTTAAATTGGAAAATAACACTTTTCTTAAAAAGTAAGATTCAAATTTATGAATACAATAGGGGTTATCTATTTTTTTTTGCCTTTACTATGCATGCAAAGAAGAGTCCCATGGGCTACAACATTTCCCATGTAACTTAAAAGAAGCTTTTCTTAATGTTTATAAAGTTTTTTTCTCCTTAATTTTCCCATGCAAAATTGTGAACTCATATTATGACCCTATCCTAACTCTAAAGGGTCTCTGAACCCCCCCCCCCCCCCCGTTGGTCCAGTTGTTCTTAAGAGGATTCGTAAAGATTTTAACCAGTACATAAATGTATGTATATATTTCAAGGTAAATCTTTGATTCCCTATTGTGGCCCCATCTACCTCAAAGGCCATTTTTTGAACAATTTGAAATCTTTATTACATCAGGAAGCTTTCACATAAATTTCAGCTCCTGACCAGTAAAGTGAGAATATTATGGGCTTTGAGAAGAAAATACACATTATGGTTTAATTTGACCTCCAAATCTTTATTCTAGTGCCATAATAATGTACGATACATTTATTAACTTGACAACATACCAATCTTCTCCTGGATTTTGTATGCTGGTGAGCACAGACTGGGCTCACATTTTCCAGCAAAGTTAACAGCTGTAACTCTAAACTCCCACTCTGAGTCCTAAGGAAGATCGGTGACAGTAAAGAGGGGTCAGTGCAGGGGTACTCATTACACTTACACCACATCTCTGCTCCCTTAAACCTCTCTTCCACAAGGTAGTCTACAAAGATAATCAATATTATCAACTGCTACAGTGTTTATGTGGTTTTGAACAGAGATCAACATTTCCCTTTTTTATTCTACTTTTAAATTAGTACCTGTAATTTTACAGCCACCATTATGTTTAGGTGGTTCCCATTTCAGATATGTTATAGAATTGTTGACAGCCTCTGGTACACCAGGTGGCAAAACCTTGGCTAAAATAAAAGTTTAAAAATGTGAAAGAAAAAATAATTGAAATTAAAGTACAATATGGTAATTGTTTTTTAAAATGTTATAATTTTTTTCAAATATACTTACTGTATTTGGGCTTGGGAGTTATGGGACCAATCACATCACTAGACTCACTAAAACCTTCAAGATTCTTGGCCTGTATGTGGAAGTTGTATTCCTTGTCCTTTTTTAATCCCTACACTGATGAAAAAATTCTCAAATTCAAGTTTTGTAAACAAAACAAATTTCAAGAATCACTTTTGTAAAACATCTTTTCACAGTTTTCAGCCATAACATACTAATTACATGCAACAAAAGGACATGTAAATCCACTTACTAGTTTATAAGAAAGATACATGTGTCAACAAGTAATCAGTTACTCACCCTCATAAACACACTCATCTACTGGGTAGTCATTAGCCTGCCTCCAGTGGTGGGGTCTTCGTATTCTATGACATATCCTATAATCTTCTTAAAACCATCTGATTCATTTCTTGGTTTGGTCCAAGAGAGAGAGAGTGACAAAATCTTCATCAATGTCGAAAACACTTGGATGTCCAGGAGGATCACAACAAGCTAAGGGAAACATTTAATATTTTCAAAATTTTTCAACCCAGTTCATCATGCAAGCACAAAGACATTCTTTTAATTGTATACACCAATCAATGCTCTAATCTCAACATATCCCTTCATATTGAAACGAAGTCTTAAAGTTTGGAATTCATTTGATATCTAACAATTCATGTTCAACAAAATTATCACTTCACTTCAGCTTAGCTTCAGGGGAGAGATCAAAATTCATACACTTCTACAAAAACTAATCAATCACCTGAAAATGAATTTCTTTGGCTACCACTTAAATATTTAGATGACTTGCAAAATAAAGTGGACAGACAGGACAGTATATATATAGGTTGAACAAATAGGGATATACTAAAATACTTAACTAAATGTGCATTCTCAACCAAATTTGTGCACAGTGCACTATTTAAAGAATTTCCATACAAAGTAGTCAAAATACCAATCCCAAAGATTTTGAACTTAGCATTTTACAATTTTTTTCTCATAAAAATAGATGAATTCAAAATTTGATGAAAAATATTAATGCTCTCAAACTAGGAATAATTAACATTTTTGGTGGAATGGCTCTGTTCAATGGTACCAGTTATGGAAGAAAAAAAATGCTGCTGTTTGTTCTTTATCACAAAATACATTGTATTTAAAAAAAAGTTCCATTTCTTTTTTATTTTAAACATTTTTTCCTTTATATTCCCACAAAAAACTTTAATCCACTATTGTTGTGCCACTCTACAGGTACCTCTAGGAACCATGATTGGGAAAAAAATTGTACAGCACTTTCTGAGGATAACAGCTAGGACATTAATATGACTAATCAATGTCCTGTTGTGACATACATTCCAATGAAAAACTTCAATCCCTCATTGTAGCCCTATCCTACCCCACTGTAGATGCACTTCATTTATTTATTTTTAATTACAAAAAGAAAATTGAACAAACTACCATGTTATGACTGCATCTTATTACGACATTTTTTTTATATGTTGATGTAAAAAAAAATACTGATTCCATACTGGTTCCACCTACCCCATTAAGTCAGATTTGAACATGCAAACTTGAATCTATACCATGTCAGGACACTTCCACATAAGTTTCAATGGTTTATAAAAAGGAGATTTTTATATGAATCAAATTTTCACTGTTTCATAGCTATTTCTCCTTGAAAAGTTGGTCACCTTTCATTTAAACAAATTAAAATTGCCAAGTGGTTCTCCAGAAGAAGTAAAATGCTCCTGAGCTTTTGAGCAGATTTTTGTCTTAACCTGTATTTCCACTTTTGCATAATGTTTTAGTTCTTACAATAAATTTGGATTCTACAATACCAATTAAAATATATTCAGTTAAAACTCCATACCAAAAGCATTAAGTGAGGAACTACTGTATGTGTACTTAAAAAAGCAGGCTTCATATTTTAGGGGGCCCTTGGCGCAGACAACAATGCACTAATTCATGATTACCACTAAGAAATCATTTATAAATACAATATACGGTACAGACATTTATAGCGCTAATTCATAATGTCGCCAACACCTCAAAACCCAGTGATTTCGCTAAATTTTGAATACGCCAATTTATGTACACGTACAGTATATTTTGTGGTGGAAGGTTTTTTAGAAGAAAATGATCATTTCTTTCTCAATCAAAGTATTTAAAGTATGTTAAGTTTGGATTCCTATTTTTCCATGCAGCCTACACACAGAGTTATTCTGAGCCATGAATTGTTTTATGCTGGTCCTAAATTATATATCAAATAAAATATCATGAATTCTATCATTATATTTGATAAGTATAGCAAATATATTGTGAAAATCCAGAAAAAATAGCCGTAATTTAAATTAAGCTTAAAATTAGCACTATTTTGGTAATATCTAAAAATTAACATCACAGACCCCCACTTTTAATTTTCTTTTCTGAATATATAAAATACTTTTAACCATTCTTCTTAAATTCAGTAAAATGTCATTATTATTGCTTGTTAAATTTTTTAATGCCAGAAAAATATTTTCTGAGTGCAAAAAGGTCAAATAATTGAACTTGCGAAGTAATTTGAAAATTTTTTGTTGTCACAAATTTTAATACACCTATTCAAGGTGAAATAAGACTGCGTTTGTTCCCATAATTTATTTGAAAAAAATATTGGAGGAAAAACTTTAAAAATTGATTTATGTGTAAGACGTATTTACAGTGCAAAAAAGTCAAACTAAATGCTCAATAGCGCAAAGAGAAGCACATTAACCCCCATTTTTTGTTTTGATTTTTAATTAAGCTAGGTGTGTAGATTCTAAAAAACTACTTGATAAAAGATTCTCATTACTTTTGAATTTAAAATTTCAAAATTATGCTTTGTAAAGTAGAAATCTGGTGTCTGATTATAATCGATAACATTGAAACAGAAGCTGATTCCAAACATTGATCAAAAATGAAAATAAACCAATGCAAGGAAACTCACAACATCTGTGTGATAAATGTATACAGACAGGGAAACTCACTACATTTCGGTAAATAATGCACTCTGGCAAAGAAACTCACTATATGTGTGTAAATAATATACTCTGGCAAGGAAACTCACTACATGTGTGTTAATAATGTACTCTGGCATGGAGACTCACTACATGTGTGTAAATAATGTACTCTGGCAAGGAAACTAACTACATGTGTGCAAATATTGTACACTGGCAAGGAAACTCACTACATGTGTGTGATAATTTTAAACAGACAAGGAAACTCACTACGTGTGTGTTAATAATATACTCTGGCAAGGAAACTCACTACATATGTGTAAATAATGTACTCTGGCAAGGAAACTCACTACATGAGTGTAAATAATTTACCCTGGCAAGGAAACTCACTACATGTGTGCAAATAATGTACTTTGGCAAGGAAATTCACTACATTTGTGTAAATAATGTACTCTGGCAAGGAAACTCACTACATGTGTGTGATCATTTTAAACAGACAAGGAAACTCACTACATGTGTGTAAATAATATACTCTGGCAAGGAAACTCACTACATATGTGTAAATAATGTACTCTAGCTGGCAAGGAAACTCACTACATGCAGTCTTCGACAAATTCCAGGAGTCCGAAGCCTGGGACCTGGTAAAATTGGAAGCGGGCATGTGGAAATTGCATACTTACAAGCCCGAAAAGCATGTAAATTCTGAGGCCTAAGCCTCCGTATTATCAACTTAAATAATACCAATAACATTAAATGTACTTAAAAGTCTGATTTTTCATCTAAAGTGGAGCACCAAATAAAATATTAACGATAGTTTATTCTACAGCAATTTCCAAAGAACTCTTTTGCAAAGGAGACACAAAAAGTATACGCATTGAAAACAATACGTGACTTCCAAGGAACTCTTTTGCAAAGGAGACACAAAAAGTATACAGGTTGAAAACAATATTAATGGCGAGACAATAGATCTATAGAAATGGATTTCAGATCATTTCCTTGGCATGAAAAGGCAGATAAGAATAAAATTACTTGATAAAATTCTGGGCATGTAAATATTTGTTCGGGCTAGCAGTGGTTAAACCTGCCCGAAGGGCATGTCCTGAAAAAAAGATTGTACATGTGTGTGTAAATAATATACTCTGGGAAGGAAAATCACTATGGTGCAATTACTGTCCTCTGACACGGAAATTCACTACATCTGCGTGATAAATTTTAAAGTTAAAGATAGAAACTCAAAACGTTGACACAAATACTGAGGTATGTGACTAATGCAGAGATTATTAGATACTGTACGTGGCATGAAAAAAATTGCTGGCTTCACATCAATGTTGCTATGGAATGAAGGAATCAAAATAATCATCCCAAATTAAACATACATGTATTAGACCATTAGAGAGAATCTAGGTATGTCACTCCAGTTTGTTTACTTTGTACCCCACTGGTTTTTCTGAGTTGAAATCATGTTTTTATTTCAAAATGAAATGCCATTTCACATTCTTTGGACATATAATTCAGTCTGTCTTTAATTTGATGAAGCTTTTAAATTGGATTTGCATCTCATAAGAATACTACAATTTATTCTCAAATACAAATCAATCAGTGTTTTGGAAAATCCTTAAGTAAAAGCAAAAGGCCACTCAATCTCATTCATAACAGTATGTCACTTCTTTTCATATCCATGCTCAATACATTTCACTCTGATTCTTATTCTTCATAATTTCAATACTTTGCTGATGCTTTATTGTGTTAGCTATGTATACCAGTTCTTCTTACTTTTATATTAATTCCAGTTCTTAACTACTGTAACATTATTTTTAAATTTGCAAATTAAATCTCTGTTACAAATATCAATTTAAATATTTTTGTTGTAGACAACCAAGAATTCAAGTAATGTGAGAAAAACAAAATGCCAGTAATATGTCTTCAATTATGTGATAAAAATGACTCTGGCCATCCGAACCGAGCAGCATCCAATCTTATAATTATGTGTTGATACTAGTGCTGTCAAATCGGACAATTTTTAGTAACTTTTCCAATTAAGTAAACGGTTACACGGATGGATTTTTTTTAGATAATATATGTAACGTCATTACAATTTCCATGTTTAACATTTAGATACTGGCCAATATCAAATGCAAATGCACTGTAGATGCATTTCATTTATTTATTTTTAATTATAAAAAGACAAAATAAAGCTTCTAAATGAATTTGTTCTTGAATATCCTGTAATAGTTGGCAATTTTTGCGGATGTCCTAAATATAATGTTACTTTAGTTTCGTTTCTGTGTATGTTAATTTCATTTTACATATTTTACACCTTTCAGATTTAAATTCTTTTAAAACATTTCGGAATCTATGCTTTTGATGGCTGTGGAGGCATCTTGTTTAAAATTAATCCTGTACTGCGGACTAGCACAGTATAAGTGAGTTAATTATAATTAACCCAGGTTTTCTACATTGTATTCCGCTTGGCAATCAAAGCCATCAATTAGATAAACTGTGAAAACTAAGTGTTATCAAAACAAATCGGTCATGTTTGTGAAACGCTAGATCAAGTCTAACGTTAAATAACGGTAAATAAAACGGTAGAGGTGTACATTCATTTCTGAACAAAATAACATTTCTTTTCTACTTTTGTCTATATATCCGAGTAGCTGAGTAGCAGTTTTACTATCTGATACTCGCATTGTTCGCCGATTAACCGGTTAACCAGGTACTCGTTGACAACACTAGTAGATATGGTTAAAATGGCATCACACAAATTAAAGATAAATTAATTATTCAAACAACAGGGAATAATACAGTAAAACATGCTTACAATAGCAAAGAGCTGGGGACCAAAATATTTAATTCTTTATAAACATAAACTTTCCATTTACAACACTTTTAAATCTATGGGGAAGGAAATCACTTCAATGTAAGCATATAAATTCATTTTAAGCATGTTTGCTATAACAATGTTCTGGCTGATTGATTTGAAAATTTTATAAATGGTTCTTCAATGATGTGCACAATTTAGGAGACACTGCAACAAGTGGAAGCTAGACCACTGCTCCTTGATGAAAATATATCCTTGTTCATAACCTTATTATAAATCTAGCTTAATAGTCAGACTGGGTGAAGCCTATCTTTATGAAGTATTGATACTGATGGTGGCATTACATAAAAAAAATAGTTTGTGTCCAAAAACATGTGAATAAACATGATAAATATTAAATCCCTCTTTATGACATTATCATGAAATTAGCTTAACAGCAGACTGGGTAGTGCAACTTGTATAATTATATTTATATATATTACCTGAATTAATCTCATCATCATCATCACTGTCAAATGAATTTCCCATGGAATTCCCGACTAAAAGGGTCCGATTCCACTTCCACATCCGAGCTAGCCGTTTGGATGTCTAAAACATCAAAGCATTTAGATTCAACATCACCTTTTAAAAATTAAAACTGTCTTCAAACAAGAGGCCCATGGGCCATGATGCTCACTTTAGTCAAATAGGTTCAATAAAAGACTTACTTATAGACACAAAATATTACAAAAAAATTTATCAATTCAGATTCTGAGATCTTATTTTCCAGGTATAAGTCTTCTGCTAAATGTGTCTTTGTGTGACATCATATTGTAACTAGGGGATTACTCTAGAATCAGTCCCAGTATTTCCAATTTGTTTAAACATCATTTATGTTAAAAATTATACAAAAAATATTTTTTGGAAAAAATATACAAACTTAAATTTAAATACAGATCAATCTGGACTTTAACTTTTTTGCACAAAACTATAAATTAAAGGACTTATTGCATGTTTCTAAATTATTTGAAATTAAAAGCGTAAAACGTTCCTTATGACCACAGTTTATAAATTTTGTGTTTTTACTGCGGATAAATCGCGGTAATTAATCAATTATTGACTCAAATGAAAACCTCTGATTTAAAAATCTAAGTTAATTAGATAGCAATCACGTGACCCTGTGACGTCAAAGGCGACAATGGCTGATCAGCTCCACATTAATCTTACGAAAATATACGCGATACAACCTGAATTTTCTGCGTTGTGGACGACCAAATCCTTATTTTATCCATATGAAATTGAATATCCAACCTTATATGTTAGAACTGTCAGCAAGAAAAAATCTGAAAAATCTGTAAACATTGTAAAAATAGCAGCGACGATAGCGAAGGAAACGCGGCGAAGACGAAGAAACTCGCCATCAGAATACGATTTGATTTGTCATCTTATCACATGTATTTACTTATTTGATTCACAAATTTAACATTATATAACTTTGTTGTTTTTCGTTTTTAACATAATATTAATTTATGCAAGTCCTCATACGTTTTTTAATGGCGATCTTGAAAAATAATTTCTCGATCACGAAACATTGCCGTAATCAGAGCTTTTGTAACCACCCGACACCATCAGAGCTATAGATTCTAAATGTTTGGAATCAAAAAAAACGAAAATATCTCAAAAGTCTTATACCTTAGAACTAGTTCATGTTTCTATAGTAAATGAAAAGCACGTTAGGAATTAATTTTTTCAGCATTTTTCGTAATTAAGCTGCATTTGTCGTTGATAACTCCGTAAATAGTGTGCATATTCTCATCTCTCTATCACTGAATTGTCGCCTATGACGTCAGAGCAGTATTCCGCCGAAATCGGGCTGAAATATGTATATTGCCGTATTTGAATTTCAACTCCCAATATCTATTAAAATATGCTTTCAACAACGTTTATTGTATTCAGTATTTTAATAAACAAGGTTGTAGATAATATTTTTCATAAAATTACGATTTTTGAAAGATCATGCAATAAGTCCTTTAAGAGCATATAAAATTATAATCATGTAATGAAAAAATATGAAATTCAAGCAATATTATTCTTTCTACATCCATCCACTTTACAAAACAAAACCACAGATGTTGAGAGTAAATTAATAATATAAACTTACTTTTATAGTCTGATATAAATTTGATCTCAAAACCTTTTTGGTCAAAGCCAGCCTGGCAGTAAAAATCTGCTTCTGATGAAGGTGACATTCGTCTTCTCTGAAAACAGATGTGATCAGGGAATACATAAGCTTTAATTAATAACATACTATATAAATGGTGCCTGTTTTGGAGGATAACAAATGAAATTGACACCCTTTTGAAAACCATTGTTAACCTTTTGTTTTGTCATTGAAATGATCCCTCCTGAAATATTTTATCGACCAAATATTAGAAGATTTTTTTTAAATTTTAATCAATTCTTTGCCTGTAATTAAATGACCACCAAAACTTGTGTTCAATCTAAGGGAAAACAAGTTTCTTGGTTGACTAGTGATACTTTTTACAAAAAAGTTAACTGTTTATTGAGTTTTTTTTTATCAACATATAAACATAGGTAATCAAAGATTACAAAGCTCAATGAATGGTACATGTGTATCTATAAGTAAGGTAAATCTTGTACCAATATTGTGTGAGATCAATTATCAATGCAAGTTTGGTTAAAGTAGGATTTATAGTTGCATGGGAATAGACCTGCTCCAAAAACTTTAAACTTAAACTGTTTACTCATAAAGAAAATGTAGATCAGTTCCAGCATCCATAGCATGTCTGGTAGTGTCCATCCCTAGTTTCATCATCCAGGCAAGTTTAGTCATAACATGTCATAAAGTGATAGAGCTACTCCAAAGACATTACTCTGGTCACATATCTGAAAAATGTAGGTCAGATTCAGCATCAAAAGCAAGTCTTCTTGTGTCCACCTTTAGATACATCATTCCATGCTAGTTTGGTTCTGGTAAGGCTAATAATTACTCATCTGGAAAATAAAGGTTAGATCCAGCATCCAAAGCAAGTCTGGTAGTGTCCATCCCTAGGTGCATCCTCCATGCAACTTTGGTCCAGGTAGGGCTTAGTTACTTGGAAATGCATTGACTTGCTCCAAAACCTTTAACCTGGTCACTCATCTAGAAAAATTTAGGTCAGATCCAGTATCTGAAGCAAGTCTAGTATTGTCCATCCCTAGATGCATCATCCATGTAAGTTGGGTCCAGGTACAGCTTATAGTTACCTGGGAATGGACTTGCTCCTAAAACTTTAACCAGGATGCCGACACAAACGAAAATCAATAATTATGATTTGCCATCTAAATCACATGTTCTATTTCAAGTGTGATTTACAACATTTTCATAATTTTATTCGGTAAACAAATAAAAAAATTTACAAATTCATTTTTAATGGACCCAAATTATAGCTTGTATAGCCACTGTATTAGTGTAAAACGTGCACTGCGCCATTTGGCTGGCCCCACAAAATGCAAGAAAGCCTGATTTCCTAGTTTGTAAGTTCATTGCAGTCTGCACTCTTGGTATTCGTCATCGAAATTAAATGATATCCATGATGTATCATATAACAAGAGACCCAAGGGCCTTAACGGTCACGTGAGTATAAAACAACAATCCATAGAGGATCCATAGAGTATAAAATAAACTGATAGAAGAACCTTAATTTGTTGCCCAAAAACAAGAAAAATAGGATGATCATGATCATCGAAATAATTAGTCTAATATTCAGTAACAACTCATAAATTAAGTTCTAATCTATCCCCCATTTAGATTTTTTTTCCTATAAGTTTTATTTTCTAATATGGCCCCACCCTACCCCCGAGGGTCATAATTTGAATAATCTTGAATCTACACTACTGTAAAACACTTTTTATTCACAAGAACTTTATTTTTGCGTAATTACGTGAGACAGTGTGCTCGTGAAAATTTCATTCTCGCTTATAAAAGTATTCCTAAAGATTATATACAGCAAACACATTTCGTGAATATTCTGTCTCGCTAATAAGGAGTCAGTGACTATCTCGCGAAAATGAAGTGTCCCGAAAATTTAGTGATCTACAGCACCTGAAGATGTTTCTGTATTAAAATGACTAATCATGGCTTTTTTGTTCTTGAGAAGAAAATTTTTAAATGGTCTTTCCTATATATTCCTAACTAAAACTTTGATCACCTGTTGTGTCCCCTCCCTACCCCAGGGGGTCATGATTTGAACAAATTTGAATTTACATTACCCCAAGGATGCTTCCATATAAATAAGACAAATCATGGCTTTGCTATTCTTGAGAAGAAGATTGTTAAAGATTTTTCCTATGTATTCATATGTAAATCTTTGATCATAAATTGTGGCCCCACTCTATATTACCTGAGGATGCTTCCATGTAAATATAACCAATCATGGCTTTGCTGTTCTTGAGAAAATAATTTTTTCAAGATTTTTCCTACGTATTCCAATGTAAAAATTTCATTGTTCATTATGGCCCCACCCTCCCCTGGGATCATGATTTTAAGAAATTTGAATCTACACTACCTGAAGATGTTTCTACATCAGTTTCATCTTTCTTGGCCCAGTGGTTCTGGAGAAGATTTTTCCAATGTATTCCCATGTAAAACTTTGATCTCCCATTGTGACCCGCCCTGCCCCGGGCAGGGGTGTGCAATTACCATCGCCCAACGCCCAGAGCTACCAATTTTAGAGGTTGGGCTATCATAAATCTATACTGCATTAGCCTGTCGGGCTAGTAAATCTGAAATGAAAGTATACGTATATTTACATCGACTGAATTGATGTACGAATTTACTTTGTTGTAAAATCATAATCTTTAATTCTTTTCAACATATATGTATTGTGTGTTGCTATCGCCAGTCGTTTCAGTGACAATTATATTTGATAAAAATAGGGAGAAGTACCTGACAATAACATAGCGCAAACCATTATTTGTTTTATTTATTTCAACTTAAATGTTTTGTTTTTTTTTACCTTTTTGTTATACTTATACAAGTATTGTTTTCGGTAGTTAATGGGCTAGTGATGATTGTCAACCTCGAGCTAGTAACTTTGTTACTTCCACTAGCCCAGGCTAGTAACTAATTTTTGTAATTGCACACCCCTGCCCAGGGGTCATGATTTGAACAAACTTGAATCTACACTACCTGAGGATGTTTCCACATAAGTTTTATCTTTCTTGGCCCAGTGGTTCTGGAGAAGAAGATTTTTAAAGATTTTTCCTATGTATTCCTATAATGTAAAACTTTGATCGTCCATTGTGGCCCCACCCTACCCCTGGGGGTTATGATTTTAACAAACTTGAGTCTACACTACCTGAGGATGTTTCCACATAAGTTTCATCTTACCTGGTCCAGTGGTTCTTGAGAAGAAGATTTTTAAAAGATACCATTAATTTTTCACTGATTCTTAGTTATCTCCCCTTGGAAGATGGTGTGGCCCTTCATTTGAACAAACTTGAATTACCTTTACCCAAGGATACTTTGTGGCAAGTTTGGTTGAAATTGGCCCGGTAGTTCTTGAGAAGAAGTTGAAAATGTAAAAAGTTTACGCAAGACGCACACCCGCACGACAACGGATGAAAACAGATACATGTAGCAATAGGTCACCTGAGTGACTCAGGTGACCTAATAAAATCAGAGCCACCAATCAACATATTGACATCCACTGGCAAAGCAACAAACTTTTCCTCTGATGTGGTTCCTAACTCCAAAATATCAAGTCATTTTGCATGGCTGCACCACAGATTTATGAAATTGATGCGCATGGAAAATATTACCTTAGGCCATTCCAAGTTTTTTCTATGTTTAGCGTCCACCCATCTTTCAAATACCTCCCTACCTATTCGCAAAAAACACACAAACCAAAAAGTAAAACACAAGTCATTATAGTCATAAAAATGATGTCATTCAAAGGATATGATTCCATTAATCTATTTTTCTCATGGAAATATTTATTCTTCAGCAAAATCAAGGTACTAAATGCTTAAAATATTCCAAATATGGCATATTATAGACAAATACTTAGAGAAATTGACAGAATTCAGTGATTTGGACCAGAATAAACAATTTCAGGACTCCTGATTTTGTTCGTTTGTTTTTTGTTTTTTTTTTTTGATAAGGGATGTCGAAAAACCAAGGCACATGCGGACGCTAAACATAGAAAAAACTTGGAATGGCCTTACATGTACAATGAAATACCATACTAATAAATTCTAATTAATTATCTAGGCTCGCTCTTTGATCTCTAAAAGTTGGCATTAAAAACGATTTTGGTTTAAATATATTTTATTCTAAATACTTGCTGTAATAGATGACAAATCTCAATGAAGTTCTAAAAACAGAAAATTAATTTCCACATATCTGTTATCAAGGTGGCAGGGGATAATTTTTCTTTTCAATGCCAAACATGTGCCGAGGGGGTAGGCATATGCATGAGGTCAATAAAAACAGATAGTTTAGGGCAGTTTCTTGGGTGCTAATTAATTGCACTTCATATATCTAAAGCTCAAAAAATGTGTCAACATATAACATGTAACCTACATATTAAAGTGCACATGTACTGAAAATGCACTTGGAGGTCTCCAAAGATTTTGGCTTGTTTTTCCAAGATTTGGGCCACTGTCGCACCTATACAGCCAATCCCATTCCCGATCGAGCAGGATAAAACACCCAGTATTCTGTAGAACAATGCATGCCCTAATGAAAATTCACCAATTGATCTGGGGCCATTCACCTTCCCTCTGAGATGCACACCACTGCTTTTCAGCTGAATTTCCTCTGCGACTGACCAAATGTCTTGCATTTACAACTCTATATATGCTAAGCATCATAGTGACACCTACATTATGCACATCATTTTTCTCAGCAAGCTCTGCTACACTGCACATGTACATGTATCCCATAATTATTCTATTCATTTTTCTACATAAAATATCACATCAATCATGGGATACCTCAGTTTTTATAGAAATTTGACAGCTCGTACTATAGTATGAAACTATCCCCTGCCACCCAATGTCATATGGCCGTAGTCAAGTCGTACCCAAGGCAATTCAAATCTTAACATGTTAACATACAAACATATATGGTTTTGAGTTGACACAGATAAATGCTGTTTTTATTCTCACGGATCAAAAAGTTCCTTGATAAAATGGTTTGCTTAACGGATAAAAGTTATGTAATTGATCCTAAAAGTTTCCTTTTATTATATTTTGCTAGTTGTAAAGGGGTATATAATAAATTTATCATTATAACAGTAACTTGATCCTGAGACCCGTATCACGTCTCGTTGACAGGCACGGATCATCAGATCAAACTCGACACTTCGCGTCTCATTTGATCTGATGATCCGTGCATGTCAACTTGACATGATACGGCTCTTCGGATCAAGTTACTATTATAATTATATATATATACTGACCTCTGTTCTTCTTTCAGAAAATATCATAGGCTCAATTTCATTGAGTCAATAATTTGGAATATCCCATAATTATCTCTTAATTTGAATCACTTAAACATGTTAAATCAACACATGCCCCTGATCGGCCAAGAATTGCAAAATTTGGTGGTAATTTGCTTTACATTTTTATTATTTTACAACGTATTCTTTAAAATTTATTAAATATCCATTCCAATAAACAAAAAGAACAGATTACATTTATCAGAAAACAAATTTTTTACTGAGAATAAACATAGTTTGAAAAACTTGTAGTGTTGTGTGTGACGTTTTGGGCGAATAAACATGGTACTGAAGGAGATGCCTATCCCGTTAGGCATAGAATGCATAGAATAATGATTATACGTTAAAAAAGTGTGTTATAAAATTTGCATTGTCTGTTTATGATATGGAATACAACAGATCTAGGGCCTATAAGTCAAAAAATTTATTTGTTTATTCATTTGAAAATTTTGTTACAATTCAATTCCAGGAAATGCAGACTTGGCTCTTCTTTATAGTAAAATTCTGCGCCAGATTTTCATTTTGCTCAGTAAAAGTTACCTTCAATTATAATGCCCTGTTCACACAGAGAGTTTAATTCGAATAAAACATAAGTTACTGCGAATTAAATTTGAACCGCGTTCACACAGGGAATTTAATGCAAATTAGTTTAATTCAAATTAATTAACTGCACATTAAATTACTTCGCATTAGCTCCGTATGAACGCTAAGCGAAGCTAATTCGAATTAAATTTTGACGCATGCGTAATGGCACAATTAAGTCACATGCCACATGTCTGTGGACAGATATGGATACTTATGCTATTTTTTAGTGGAAAACAAAGAAAAATTATGTTAATCACTGAAATGTGCATTGACACTATGACAGAATGTAATATGGGTTTGCTGCGCATAAGGTGATGTAATTTGAAAATGACGTCATAATAGCCTTACTGAATAGCCTTACTGTAGAAATAAAATTTTAATTCCCATTAGTTTACTTCGCATTAGCTGCCGTGTGAACACAATTTAAATCGCATTATTTTAATTCACATTATTTACTTCGCATTTATTTACTGTGAATTAAACTCTCCGTGTGAACAGGGCATAACAATTTAATGCATGTTACTGTCAATCAAAAATTGTTTTAATCAGTAAATCATTATGCAAAAACTTACATGACTTGCAGAAGTCAGCATAAACAACTTCACTAGTGAATCAAGATCCCATTCAAAAAACATTGGTAATGTAATGCAATATCATGCACTCAAGTGTATAATATATAATTTTCTTATCGGTAAAATAAAACAATTGATACCCCATATGAGTTCCACATGGTGAAAAGAAGGACCCTTGACATGACCGACTTGCTAACCAGACCTGACCTCGGCCACTATGTGGCCTTGGTCAGGTTAATTAGAATAATCTAACTGTGTCTTGGGACAGGCCCTCACTACAGTTAGAATGCCTCCCCTATACCAGTAATATAGCAGAAAATTGCAGAATCGCTCCAAAATGATTTTGGAGAAAATTAATGAAGTTGCATTGAAAATAACAGTCAAATTAATCATAACAAACCTTTTTGAGACTGTAAATACCTTTCATCTAAAAATTTAATCCATATAATGGAAGAATTCAACACTTTTTCACCAACATTTTTTACTCGTTTCAAATTTACACACCATGTTGACACTCAGAACTCTCAGGATTTTTCATAGTAAATGCACTAAGTTAGAGTTATCTCCCGTATTTTCTTTGCTACATAGACAATACACGGAATGCATTCTATCGTTAAACAGGGTCCGTAGGACATTTATCATTTTAACGATAGAACATTCTATCTATGGTCAGGTCAGTTCACCTCGTAGACCAAGTCTTGGGTCCGTATTTCACCATGTTGACATCAAAAGGGGTAATAAGTTGTTAATATTGTTAAGTTACGAGTTGTCATCAATTTATATAGGGGAGTCAGCTTGTAACAATTCTCCTGGTTACGAATTTTGTCGTTTCATTAATATGAGTTGACCTATTGGGTTTGATCTGATCTACTCAACATGCTAGAGGTTCACGGCGATATACTTTTGACTTGGCGCTCCGAGGTATATAAGGAGCGTAGGGATGTTTAACCGAGGCTCTTACTTGTAGGAGAAGATCTGACCTAGATACGATCATACGAGTTGACCAAAAACCCTTAAACAGACACTGTAACTTTTCTGTGTTTCCCAATCCCAAACAAGGATAGACTGTAATGCAGGCCCAACTGTGTTCATTGTACATGTATAAAAAATGAATAAAACGGGCACTATAAAGATTATCGTTCCGAAAAATTGACACATACAGCTGACCTAGTTCGAATTTTCTCAACTAAGTGACAACTTTCCAAAGTTCACAGTACTACATACGATGAACTTCAAGCATCTTCTAAATTTCCATCTTCAAAAAGTAACAAGAGAAGATTTTTATACTTTAAAGCTTACAAATACTTACAAAACTGTCTTTCATACGCAATGCAGTCTCGGTGATCAGTTCATGTTCATGTTGCATGTTGTAGGGTGTTACTGGTTCTTGTGAACTTCCGGTAACCAGCACATTTCTGAAAAATGAAAATCTTGTAATATGCAGGCAATATTTATGACTTTTAGAGTGGGACAGTTGCAAAGTATGATGGCTAAGGTACTTATTTTGGCCATTTTAGGGTGGGACAAGTCATTTTAACAACAAAAGACCCTTCATACATAATCTATATAACTCAGTGACTGTAGGGCAGTGGCGGATCCAGAAGGGTGTCTAAAGATTAAGGGCCTGGGACACAAATTATAAATGCAATATTTAGCAACAACAAAATAAAATTTCTTAATCTTTATACGAATAATTTTGGTTATAAAAGGGGAGTTGCCCCCCCCCCCCCCGAACCCCCTCCTAGTAAAGGTCCCTGATTTTATTATGAAATGAGAAAAGACTCCTGAATAGTAATTCAAAACCATGAAATAAACCCTCAAATCACAGGTTCCTTCTAGTTTTTGGACAATTTAGACCTTGCCTTCAGTGCAAAACTGTCAAATTAATCAATTCAATCAAATTATCAGGAAATTAATTAATCAATTTAGATTTAGAAAGTATGCTACATTTAAGATTTAGACAGTATGTTAGAAGCATATAGTATACTTTTAGTCAAGAGTGTACAGGGATTTACCCTGGATTGTATTCCATACACCTTGAGGCTGAATCAAGGGTGTAAGGGATTTACTCTGTGTTGTATTCCATACATGTGTGCAGAAGGCCCCAGTGCTTTTTAACTATGCCTTGTGACATCACAATATTTAACTTTCGGCTCAAGCTGTACATAGTACATACTAAATTACACCAGCTGGCTTGCTATACAATCAAATCTTGTATTACAAGTTAGCTTGCTGCTTCAGCCTCTGAGGATGTATAGAATACAATTTACCAGAGGAAAATCTCTTTACACCCTTGATTGAATTGCAGTGGATATATCCCTGCTAGAATTACAAGAAAAACAATCCATGTCATATTTCCTTAGAAATAAAAAAGTGTCATGGTCAAGTAAGATTTTATACAACTTTCAAACATTTTCAGGTTGCATGATATCCAAAATCATGCACATTTAAAATTCCCAAATATTTCATTTAGAAAAGGAAATCACCAAATATTTTGCAACTGAATGGAGTCTGTACCCTTCAAGTAGTAGCCATCTATACCACAGCCTCAACATGGCTGATGGAGAAATTTAAAGGTCATATTATATTGTATATATGTACAGGTGTATTTATGAACTTTAATTTACTTTGATTTAATTTTCATACAAAATGAGGACGGGAAATGTATTCTTTCACTGCAGTGGAAGGTATGGGACCAATTTATTTAAGACTTTATAAAAAAAAGACCTCGCTATTCCTTATTTTGTAGCTTAGTCTTATAAAAATCTTTTAATTTATTTTTATCTATGCACTTGCACTGACACATATTGGTGATAACATTTCAACTGTGTCCAAATTATGACCTGTTCCTTTTGTTAATCATTAATCTTACTATTTATTTTAGTTGCAGCTCTTTTTTTTAAAGAAAGTATTCATAATATTTCTATCAAACATACAATAACACAAAATTGGTGAGAGTTATTCAACTGTGTCATAATATTTCAAACCTTTATAAAGTTTCCTTTGACCTTGACCTCATCATTCCTCCTTTACTCCGATTTTGAACCATAGAAGCCTGATACTTTTTTCCTTGTTTCATCAAAATTTATCCTGGGTAAGGCATTCATGTCCTGTTATAGATTTTAATTTCTTTTAATGAAGGTTGTTATCTAGAATACTGATATCTCAAATACCAGGGATACATGTATGTCGAAGTGAGTTGGCACTCCTTAAAATCTTTTTTTCAGCATTCTTCATGTTTTTAACCATTGTCATTTCCAATCTTTCTGCAAAAATTTCAAATTGTTATTAAAAAAATGAATTGCAATGTTTATGCCTTTATAAAAAAATTTAAACAAAATAAAAACAAAATTTTACCTATCAACCCTATTTTTTATTTGCAAGTAATGGTACATGTATACAAGCATGTTTTTTCCCTTAGGCCTGATGTCTTATAGATTTCATTCCAGTTAATAATCTTGTTTATCGATTGATTGTTTGTTGTTTAATGTCCCTCTTGAGATATTTTCATCCATATAGAGATGCTACCACTTGCTGGTGTAAGGCTACAAATGTTGACCTATACTCGGCACTCAGGGCCAGTGAGGGATATTTTTCGAGCCAGCACTTACTGTGACAAGGGACCTCGGTTTATACAGTCTCATCCGAAGGACCAGTCTCCACGACCCGCAGTGGGATTCGAACCTGCGACGTAAGGATCAACTCCTTACTCCGCGACTCTAGAGCAGACACCCTAACCACTGCATCATGCAGGCGACAAGAAATCTTATTAAAAAGTCTAATAAACTGTAGCTCTGTACATTGTATTTACCCTAAAATGTGCGAATTCAATGCATCACCAAACTCGATAAATCATGATATCTGTATAGCAACATATTGCTGTTTTCTTATTAATGAGAATTAAGTTTGTGTATATATATAGTGCAAACATATAGTGCATATGCATATATGCATAGTGTATATGTATATAAACATATCAAGTTTTCATGCAATAATTACTTAAGTTGAACTTCAGTATCTATGACACTTATATATTGAATATCATGGATATCTTGAAGGGATTTTGAAGTCCCAAACCCTTATTCTTTGGGTATTTTGCCCTGGATATCTTGAATCCTCAGATATCAAGGTCTGACTGTATTTAAAATTTTTGGAGTTTCATTGTTATTTTGCTAACCCAGTTAAGCAGGTATTACTATTTCAATCTATACTATATGTCTTGTTAATTCCTAACCCATACTAATTATCAGACTAGTAATCAATGACTTCAATGTGATTTATTGAGCACTTTCAGGTACATTAACAGTGGCAGATTCAGGACACCCCCCCCCCCCACTCCAAAATATTTTTTTTTTTAAATTGTCATTTTTACAACATATTGCATAAATGAGATTGTCTCTTTGCTATATCCAAACACATTGTTCTGTATTGTATTATATGTATTAAAAAACCCAAACATTTACTTATTGTAGTACTCCTAGATAGATTAAAGGCCGACTAAGTCATAATTTTTAATATTATACTTTCATTTAAATTAGCTGAATCTGATTCGTCAAGAAACATTTGTTCAAAACTCTATTACCCCCTGAATAATGAAGTCACACCCTCCAGGATAACAACAGTCGACATTACTTGACTACAGGTGATATTTCAAAAAAATATTGACTCTGCAGAATTTATGCGCGCAAGGTTCACTGTAATGTGTTTGTTTGTTTGTATGTTGTTTAACATCCCTCTCAAGAATTTTTCACTCATATGGAGACGCCACCACTTGCCGGTGGAGAGCTGCAAATTTTGTCCTATACTCGGCACTTACGGCCATTGAGCAATGAGGGATCTTTTTCGTGCCAGCACTACTGCGACATGGGACCTCGGTTTATACGGTCTCATCCGAAGGACCGGTCTCCACGTCCCACAGTGGGATTCGAACCCGCGACGTAAGGATCAACTCCTTACTTCGCAACTCTAGAGCAGACGCGCCACGCGGGCGACTCACTGTAATGTGTATTTGTATAAAACATTCAGTATGATATAAAAAATACTTCATGTAGTTGCAGTTAAGGGTGACATTGAAAATTTTCACCCCAAGAAAACCATTGTCAACCTCGGCTGTGCATCAGTTGACAATGGTTTTCTAAGGCTGAAAATTTTCAATGTTACCATGGTTACACTCAACTACATGCAGTATTTAAATAATACAATCTCAAACTTTATATTACTGAGAAAGAACTTCAAGATTCCCAAGGATTCAGGATATCGAGGGTTAAATTATATAAATATTGCATGAAGTTGAGTGTAACATTGAAAATTTTCACCCCAAGAAAACCATTGTCAACCAAGGCTGCACCTCGGTTGACAATGGTTTTCTTGGGGTGAAAATTTTCATGTTACACTCAACTACATGCAATATTTATTATATTATGCTGAATGTTTTATGCGAATACATATAAAAGTGAACCTTGCGCGCATAAATTCTGCGCAGTCACTATTTTTGGAATATCACCCGTCATCAAGCATTGTTGACTGTTGCTATGCCGGAGGGCATGACTTCATCATTCAGTAGGTAATAGTGTTTTTTAACAAATGTTTCTCGATGAATCAGATTCAACTAAGTTACATGAAAGTATAATAAACTTAAATAATATATGGTTGGACCACAAAATCACTCCGACATATCCATGGTATTCTAGATAGCAGTGTTTGAGATACTGAATCTCAACCATTACGGTAGTTATTAATATATTAAATCATGTAAAGGTTAACAGATTTTAACAAATAGACCTCACGTTTAAGTCAAGTTTGCTCAGTTTTTACAACAGTGTAAAATTGGAGTGTTACAACCTGTCTGGTGGCAGTTCAAATGAAAAATTAATTGATAAGAATTAGGTTAAAAATAGAAAAACACATTATTGGTCATAAAATTAAAACTATTCAATTGAATGGCAAAATGAATAAATAGATAAGGGGAAAAATTAATAAATGAAAATGAAATTGATTCAACAAATTTTACATGTAAACATGATCACATTTAAAGAATCTCAGTTACTAAAACTCAGCACTGACCCTACAGCAGCAGAAATAATCTGAAAACTGAAAGCCAACCAAAATGTTAGTCTAAAAATGTTGATTTATTTTGCTCCCGTCCTTTTGCATAAAGAAAGCTTGAAAATTCTTTCCATTTAACTCACATTTATCTTTTTTAATTACTAATACTATGCGCAGTGGTTATAGCATTTGCTCTGGAGACGCAGCTTACATTGCGGATTCAAATCTCATTGGGGAACATGGGGACAGGTCCTTTGGATGACAGTATATACCGAGCTTCTGTTTCATAGTATGCGATGGCATGAAAAAGATCCATAATTG